ACACACACACACACACACACACAATCTTGGGTAACTAATTACAACTTCACATGAAGAGGCTCAGCATTAATACAGCCATCTCCTATTATTTATTTATATCCACTATGCCAAGGGAAGATTTGAAATCTTGGTGTACTTAGTATTATCGTTTGCACTATCTAAAAGCATCAGAAATTATCAAGCTTCCTGAAATAGAAAGCACTTTGACAGAACTGCTTGAATTCAGAAGAAAACAACTCTCAAAAAGGCATAATGACAGTCAGCATAGGAGAGCCAGTAATGGGGAAAGAATGCTCAGAACACAGAGAAACGTAATGAGGACATTAATCCTGGTTCCGTTTGGATGCCGTGCTGTGGCCCACAGAGTGACCACAGCTGAGTTCCTTGTGCTCAGGTTTTCAGTTGGGCACAAAGATTTATGTCTGTGGTCCTGTCATTTTAATACAGGTTACTGTTTGGCACTCTCTGTACTCCCAACACCTTCACCTCCTCTACCCCACACTCCTAATGCCATTATTTTAATTTTTTAACGTACACTGAAAAGTCCATTTAAAAAGTTTCCTGCATATTTTCATGGCTCATCTAGCTATCAGAGTGCCTTAATTGAAAAGCAAAGCAAAGGAGGTGGGTGGTGGGTGGAAAGAGATCAACCAAAGAACTCATATGCATATATGCATAACCCATGGACACAGACAATAGGGTAGGGAGAGCCTGGGTGGGGGATGGGAGCAGGATAGAAGGAGTCAGTGGGGGGAAGGGGATATATGTAATAATTTCAACATCAAAGATTTAAAGCAAAGCAAATTTAAATGAACTTTGCACAGAAGAAAAATAATTTGAAAAAAGATTACAACTCAAGTATCACTTTGTATAGCAGGTAGAATTTGGATGTCCAGGCTGAAGGATGCTGCAGGCTTAGTCGGGATGAATTAGAGTTCCCATCTGTGAACTGGAAAATCTTTTGGCAATGCCTAAGTGATTTCCCAGTAATGTGGTCAGTGTTCTCAGAGTCAATAATTTCCACCAGGGCCCGATAATGATCATTTAAAAGCATTAGCTCACGTGATCAATGCACCTTGCAGTTGAGGGCATGGCTTGACAGGAAACTGACGCTCTCCGGTCCAGTCCTTGAATTTCAGGGCAGGGGAGGGGGTGAGAAAAAAGCCCTTTAAACCTCAGGGATTGTCAGTGGCTGTGTGTATGTTTTCTAAGGGATAGCGTCAGTGTCTGGGCCCATGTTAAGCCAGCACCGTTCATTTTGGAGAAGGTGGCAGTGGAGAAGGAACCAGAGAAAAGTCTCTGTAGAAAGGACGCGAGTGGCTTTATCCCCTTGTTTGCATAGCTACTGCAAAACCACCACGCATTGCATACGGCTCATCTTCCAGTGAAGTGGTTTGTTTTTTCCTTTCCTGTATTCATTTGGACCTCTTGGGAGTGAAATTAATTACAGTGTTGACCCCAAACATCTAAAGTCAGAGTCTTGCCACCAAGCACAGAAATATGATCTAACGTAAAAGAATAATGGCTCTATAATAAATTATTGCAGGGTCTGGATCTAGGCTTCTAAAATTTAAGGTGCATCCACAAATCCAAGAGCTCTTTTTAAAAATGTGTTTTCTGATTCAGTAGGTCTGGGTTGGGACCTCAGAGTGTTCATTTCCAGTCAGCTCCCAGGAAATGTCAGAGGACACACTTTGAGTAGCAAAGCTGTAGAATACATCACAGGTCAGTCCACATGATAGGAAATCACCAGATATTTTAAGCTGGTACAAGCCACCCAGACAGCGGTGGTACAGCTCCTTCTGTGAGCGTGTCTGTGCTGAGCACCTTCTGGGGGAGGGTGCAGAGAAAATTCATCACCACCGGGGGCCACCCTGCAAGCTCTTGCATCGTGTTTCAGGAGGGGATGTTCTGTCACTTGCCTCTGGGTAGTGCTTATTAGAGAATCACTTATGACCTGAAAAGGCGTAGTGGGTGGAGGAGCAGAATGGTGTTCATCCTTCACTTAGTGCGAATTCTTGTTGCTGTAGTTTGGCTGGGAAATTTCATCTTGGATTTTGAGGTGCCTTCTCCAAAAGAGAATATGTTATTAAAGTATGTGTGTGTGTGTGTGTGTGTGTGTGTGTGTGTGTGTGCAGAGTATATTATTACTGTACGTTAATTTGAATATGTATAAACATATACATAGTTAATAATGAGTTCAAGAGTTCGGTCATTTTAACTGTATATTTAAGCCCACCCTGTTAAAATGAAAAGAAAACAACATTAGTGATGAGGCTTATAGTGTTATGTATCTTACTAAGTCTTATAGTCTCTACATTTTTATAATTTCATCCATGTTAGCTCTTGGTTGTCGATTGCTAAGTGGACTAAGATGCTAACCAAGGTCAGAGACTGAAGTTCTTGGTAGCCCCCCTCTTTCAACCAAAGCAGACCCATATTTAACTTTGAACATATGTGGTTTCCACAGAAAATCTCGGTTGAAAAGCAGTAATGTGAACTATTAATATTTCCTACCATGGACAGCATTTAGAGGAAACATTTTAAGCAACACTTACATTTCTCCTGCGTTCATCTATTTATACAACAGCTCTTCACTGTTCCCTTAACGTGTGTGAGGCCGTGTCTGGGTGCTGTGGGAGAAACAAGGTGAATAAGCAAACCCTGCCCCCTTAGAAGCAGCCTTGAAACCCCGTGGCTGACGGGAAGGAGCCGAAGTGGCACCAAAAGCACCGTGTTGAACTGGAAAAGATCCACTGTACCGCGTGTTAGGTCACGGTACTCGGTGGAGGCGCTCTCATTTTATTTCTTGAGGTCTAATTGGCAGGGGATAGTGGTGATACGTGCTGGGTGTTCCTGAAGTGCGATTGATAGTCAGTATGTGATATTGTCATAGAAGTGCTGCCGGAATCCTCTCTGTACTGAATCTTAGTTTTTAAAAGCTGTGCCTGATTATTTTAGTGTGGGCATTTGTTTCTTACCAAGGCAGCCAGTGGGAGGCGGTCTGGCACGCCCACTTAGAATGTGGGCCACAGAAGCAGAGGGCCCAGGTTCACCCTCTGGCCTGACCATTCACAAGCAGCCTCACTGTGGGCAGGTTACTTACCTCACTCACTGAGCTCTCACTCAGCTATAAAATGTGTATGATAATAGTATCTAATCCATAGTGTGACTGTGAGGATCGAAGACGTGTAAGACACACATGGAAAGTGCCTGGCACATAGCAACCCCTCAGGAAAGGTAACTATTGTTATTATGTTAATATACTAGTATGTCTTATAATAAGATGCATGCTTCCTTCATTTCAGGTGACCTCCTTTGACAGGATTTAATATACACAGATCCTTTACAGTACAGATGCTTCATTGTAACCCCAAAGCCTTAGCCTTGGTGAATGCTCCAGTGTTGGGAACACCCACATTGGGGCAGCGCCCAGCATTGCCTCACAGCCCTGGGAGGTGTTTTGGGTCCCTTGTGTGCAGATAGCGGGAGCCTTGTTTAGCATGAGGGTCCTGAGTTCTGGAAGAGAATAAGACATGGGAGGTCTCTGCTAGGGAGAAGCCCTGCCCAAGTGCAAGTGGGGCTCCTGAGACACAACCTGTCATTGTTCTGTCTGCAAATGTGCAGGTCACTCTCTTGGGGACTGAGGGGCGGGGGGCCCAAGGGTGGAGTGCGGGGAGGATTTGGATTTGGGTCAGGGGCTGCAGAGGAAGGTATTTGCTTTGCAAAAGTTGGACTACATTCAACTACACACTCATGCCACCAGTCTTGAGCAAACAGAATTTTTAAAAATTTGTGGAAATAGACAATAGAATTCCAGCATTTCAGCAGAGGATCAGATGCCAAAAGGCTACCTTTTGGCATTTTTTGGTTGATTAGGGTGTTCTTCACAGCATGGGACTTGGTCAAGAATTCATCTTGGGAAAAGGTACGAGCTAGTACATCTGCTGCTTTCTGTCTACACTTGTCAGAGGAGGAGATGGTGGTGTTAGACGGAGCTTGCCCTTGGAGCTCTTTGGCCCACTTCTGCAAACAGTAACGTCCTTTTTTTTTTTTAATGAGCAGTGGGTATATATTATATATTTTAGTCTCTGGCGCTAGTCATTCAGCATTGATGAGAGTGTGTGTGTGTGTGTGTGTGTGTGTGTGTGTGTGTGTGTGTTGTTTGTCTGCCTCTTGCACCCAAATATCCTCCAGCTGTGAGTCTTTTCCTTCTCTGTATGTAAAGCCAGTAAACGAAACCAAAAGCCCTCGGGAAAGGGTGAGGAGAGCAACAGAAAAGAACCTTCTCTTTTGTGAAAAAGCCCGCCACTGGCTGAATCTTAAAGAAAAGCTGATGGACCTTTTTCTCTTGACCATGTTCATAGAGCAAAGCGCCGATCCTCGGGCGAAGGGGTCCTTCTCGGGGTTGGAAATAAGTTTCATCTTTGTGCTGGGGCTTCTGCCACAAGATGAGACATTTACATCTGACGCTAAGAAATGATTGGTTGTGGGGAAAAGAAAAAAAGGAAAAGCAAACATGTCTTACAGGTTAGCCTTTAAATTATACTGTTTTCGTTCTGTCATGGGATACCCGGCTTTTAACTCGCTGGTGAAGTCTGCGAGGCTGGGTTGTTTGCATCTATTTTTATCTCATCCACTCTGCCCCGGGTTCAGAATAAGGTTGCTGGTTTCCTCCCAGAGCTCCCAGCCACAGTCAGCCCTGACCTGGGCAGCCGGGGAGTGGAATCAGCTTTTCCTTGGTTGGGAAGAGGAAAGGTGCTGTGGAGAGGAGCCCAGGCGGGATCATCCAGGGGAAGGCCACGGCAGATGGTGGGAAGGCTGGGCTTTCAACAGGCCGAGCGTCAGTGCCGAGTGAGCCTCAGAAAACGGCAGCTGCCCCTGTGCCAGCGCACAGGGCAGACCAGGCCGGGCGGGCGGTGTCTCCGAGCCAGAGCAGGACAAGGACACGCACAGCCGGGCACAGACTCTTAGCTGGCTCTCCACGTCAGCATGAGCAGTGAGCAGGGTCCTGAGCAATTGGCACATCAGCCTATCAGAATTCAGGAGAGGTTCTTTCTCAAGTAAAATTCTAAAGAGTCAAAGGATGAATTTGGACAGTGATGGAATGGATGACATCATCAGTCAAGAATCCCCATTGGATATGGAGGGGAATTATAAAAAGGTAAGGGGGGGGAGAGTTCTTTTGTTTGTGAACAATTGGACCATTTTTCTAACTGGGAGAAAGATCACCCTTGAGAAGTGGCCAAATTCCACAGTCAGTGGCCATGGCCATAATATATTCAGGAAAGCTGAAATGCACAGAATTGAATACATTAAGCTGGGAAAGCGCTTCTTTCTGCTTTTCCCAGCTTGTATTCATTAATATATTTTAGCAGTAACTGGAATACACATGTTGTTATTCTGAAGTTGAAAAATTTATATTATACATTTAGTTGCTAGGCAGGCTTTTTATATAAAGGGAGAATTTTTAAAATTACTGACATGTTAAAAATTCACCTGCAACTAAAAATTACTAGAATGTTTAACCTATCTTTCTAATTTTGACCTTTTTTTAAATATTAAGTTTTACGAAGAGAAGATGCGGGGCTTTCAAAATTTGATACGGTATCTACTAATTCTTTGCTTGCCTTTTCTTTTGAAAACCAGTGAATATATTTTTGGAATGTTTTATATGGTAATTGTCTGGTAATAAGAGGCCCCAGTAAAAATAGCTTTAGTTATATGGGCGAGGTCATGAAATTAAACTACAAGTGTGTGCTTGTCCGTCCACAGAAGGCTAAACACATGCTCCGTCCTCCCTTATTATTTTCCCTAAGTCAGATGTAGGTCACGGCACAGCACAGGATGAAAGAGAAGGGCCCTTCCATCATGGAACTAACACAGGAAGCTTGCTGCTAAACTTCTAATTTGATCAAGTATGTCACCAACTTTTTTCCCCAGAGTGAGAGACAGAAAGAAGCTTCCCTCTTGATAATAATGCAAAATATGGCAGTTTGCATCTTATATGCATAGTTGTGTGTGAGAATAGGGGCTGTTTTGAGTATATGCTTTCTTTCTTAGAGCAGCCCAGAATAATTTATGCTCTTTCTCCAGAAGCTGAAACTTAAATATGTGAGAGAGATTTAAATGACCTGCCAGGTTGCCCTGCGTGGGTTTTGTCCCTTGCGATCCCCAAGGAGGGAATGAATGCCCGAGGTGGGAAGTGCACAGAGTCCTGAAACCCTAACACCTCTCAGCAGTGCCCTCCTGCCGGCAGTGGGTGCAGCAATCAGAGTCGGTCACTTACCCAGCCCCGGAGAGCGAGTGCACGCCTCTCACCCTGCCTCTTACGTTCAGGGCCAAAAGACGGCTCTCGGTTTTCTTTGTTAAAACGTCTCAGATAGAAAAGTGTAGGTCAGTTTGCACTTAGGAAAACATGAAAAACATGCCATTGCTCACGCAATAACAATAAAAGAATGGCCCCTGTAGTTTCATGCTCCTTAGAACCTGAGAGCCCAGATGCCTGGGATGAGTGAGCGATGATAGGAGGCAACCTGATACAGCACGGACTAAAGCCACAAGCTTGAAAGGCTCGAGTCGCTTTAAAATATCAACAACAACAATACAGAGTTGCAGTGTGAAGCCCATTATCTAACTGAGGCAGTGGGATGCCACGTGAGCTTTCAGGAGACCTGGTGTCTGATAGGTCAAGCACGAAGCACCCCTAGATGAAACCCCTCGATGAGGAGGATGCCAGAGGTCAGGCGATGTTGTTCTGGACCCTAAACATGAGAGTTGTTCTCTTGTCGGTTCAGCTTTCTAACTGCCTTGCTCAGGCAAATGGTTTCAAATTTATGCATATCGTGTTTACTATAAAGGCTTCATTATGCTAAAAAAAAAACTAGTCTTAATTTCATTAAGAACGTCTAGCAAAACAAGGCAACATATGTTTTCTTTAAAATACAAAGAGCAGGAAAAGAATTAGGTAGTATAAAAATCACTTTTCCTAATTGGAATCTTCTTTTTCTAAGTTTTTCCCCCAAATGTTTTGTTTTTGCTGTTTGGTTGACTAAGTAGAAAATTAAATTAGGTGCCATAAAGCAGGGGTCTGCAGGCTTTTTTGATCTTGTACCCATCAGTAAAATGTTTTTGAGTCCATGCCTCTAATATACATATATTTTATTCATAAGTTACATGTACATATCATTGTAAAAATATATTACATACATATAAAACATATACAAATAGATATTTTTAAATAAATGTTTAAATATAAATTCAAGTTTTCATAATTTCTCTTTTCCCTCCTGTGGCTATGAGGTCAGTTGTCAAAAACAGTTGGAAAATTGATATACCCCAGCCTAGATACGACAGAACTTCCTATACCAGTTGCACTAATAAATACCACATGGGTACAGGGATTATTTTACAAGATTGTAATAAAGTCAGGCAAACAGCCTTCGGGGGAAAGGTCACTTTCCGATACTAAAATTAGATTCCACCAGGCGGGGGAAGGAAGAGAGTAGGCATCTGTTCCCTTTCCTGGGGGAAGGTCCCGGCGATAAGCAAGATGTCTCATTAGGATCTCTGGTTTACTCAGTAGCGGTGAAGCTGTACTCAACAGAACACAGATCTCAGTATTTAGGAAGAAGGCCTGCACCCTGGCAGAATCCAAGGTGTGTATGTTCAGTCGTCATTGCCCTGCCTTGCTCTGTGCAACCCCCCGACCCTCTGGTAAAGCCCACACAGCTGATTGTCTTTAAGAGCAAGCACGGAGCAAGTCGAAGGCCAGGATCGCAGAAGAGAGAATGGGCTTTCCCTCTAGGAAGGGGGGGGGTGGGGGGGGGGGGGGGGGGGGGGGGGGGGCGGGGACGGGAAGGACAGAGCACACAAACAAGCTGATATGGATGATGCTGCCTGGATGTTCGGACAGCTAGTGTGGACCGAAAAAACACGCAGCTTGTGTCCTCTCAGAGCCTGGAAAGATCCAAGTTACACGATGGAGAGAGAGGAAATCAAGAAAATGTAACATAGACGGCAGAAGGCTGGCTCCCACTGTGTCCGGGAGCAGAGCAGACCCAGGGAAGCTGGCCTTCCGTCCGCAGGCTGCCCCTCGCAGAGAGGAGCGGGGACAGGCCTGTGCAGTCGAGGACAGGACGGGGAGGCCTGCTCGCCTCGCTTTGTTCCTCTGAGGTGCTGTCTCTAGTGTTGTGCATCCAATTACAGTGAAAGATTAGGGAGGAGCCCGTGAAAACATTAAAAGGCTGGAAGGAACAATATTTAAAGTGAAGCCACAGCTGCGCCTCATGTTTTTTTTAAAAGGTGAATGGGAATGACTGCTGGAGATAAACTGCAATAAACAGGAACACAGAATGCCAGCTGCCATTCCAGACAAGAGCTCTGCCCTCCCCACTCAATTATGGAGGAAAAGCAGCCGTCGACCTCCATTAACCCTCCCGTCTTCCTGTCTGTGAGGGCTGAATGCGCTGGAAGGACTGCTCAGTTACTGAACCCGGAGCCTGGGCCCACCTCGCCACCTGGGGACAATTGCTCCCGCTCTCTGAGCCAGGGTCTCCCTTCCTTTGAAGGGAGGAACTGGCCTGGAGGGTCTTAGATGATGTAAATATGAGGCCTCGGCTCCTACTTCAGGGTTCTTCCCCGGATATCACCCTGTTCACCAGCATAGTCAGGGAATGGTTGTTTCAAGTAACTAGATTTTCTAGGCATGTGGTATGTGAATTATAGCTCAATAAAAGTAATAAACCACACACACATAACAAACAAAAAAAATGTGTATGGTTTATTTTTCAATTGAGATATAATTTATATACCATAATGTATAAGGCACAACTCACATACCATTTCAAATTTTGATGGGTTTTAATATATTTATAAGGTTATGCAAACCACTATTGTCTAATTCCAGAATATTTTCATCACCCCCAAAGAAACACTGTATCCATCTGCAATTACTCCCAATTCTTTCTTCCCCATACATTAATCTGTTTGCTGTCTTTTTGTTTTAATTTATTTATTTTAGAGAGACAGGGAGAGAGAGAGAAACATCAATGATGACAATCATTGATCAGCTGCCTCCTGTACGTCCCCTATTGGGGATTGAGCCCACAATCCGGGCATATGCCCTTGCCCGGCATCAAACCTGGGACCCTTTAGTCTGCAGGCTGACACTCCACCCACTTAGCCAACCGGCTAGTGCTGTTTGCTGTCTTTATGGATTTGTCTGTTCTGGCTATTTCTGGCTCTCTTTAGTCTATTCTTTAAATATATATATATATATATATTTGCTGATAGTACTACAGATGTCTCCCATTTCCCCCCCTTTTACCACCTCCTCCCCGCCCCTACTCCCCCCCACCCCAACCCAAGTCTTTACTACCTTATTGCCTGTGTCCATTGGCTGTGCATATAAGTATATAAGTTCTTTGGTTTATCTCTTTTTGTCCCCCCAACCCCACATCGAGGTATGGCAGTCTGTTCATCTCTCCCTTTAATATTCAAAGCTACCATTTAATAAGTTTCTCTCTGGGCCAGGCACCATGCCAACTACTTTCTATATAGCATTTCATTTGATCCTTAACACAACCTAAAAGATAGTAGTATTATCTTTTTTTTTTTTCCAGAAAAAGAAACAGGGGCTTAAATGGTTTCTATAATCTGCACTAGGAGGTGTCAGAGTCAAGATGTGAACTTGGGTCTTCTTGACCCCAGCTTCCCTGCCCTGGCCTCCTGCTCTCCTTCCTGGTCACGTGCCTGTGTCTGGCTCCCCCAGACCCTGAGTCCACCGTGAGGTGGGAAATTGGGGACATTGGCTTCCTGGCAGCTGTTTCATAACCATCCAGTAGGTGTTTCAGACTGTTGTGTCCTGACAGTGACACTGAGTGACTGCGATGGGTTTGCAGGCCTCTGAAATGCACCTGATAAAAATAGAGCTCCCAGATAACAGTGTGCTCGGTCATCTGAGGACCAGAAAGAGCCCAGGATGCTCCCAGCAGCTCATGTTTGGGACACGCTGCTCATAAGGGAGGAAAACTTGAGTTTTCAGCAGCATCCCCCTAAGACTGAACGTGGAAACACTTGCACTACAGTCGTCAACTTTGTGGACTGCGCCTTTGGCTCCATTACCGTCACCAAAGTTCCCATTCAGCCAGTGAGTGGCTCCTG